TGTTGGGACGTCCAACTCTCAAGAGTCTGTGACCTACTCACAGTATAAAAAAAATTGGCAGTGATCTACCCAAAGTTGTTGGTTTTTTGGGGGGAGAGAACACTGAGGGGAGGGGCCAAAATCTACCAGGATCTACCAGGTACACTCCGTAATCTACCAGTACATCATAATCTACCTGATGGACATCCGCTACCCACCCCCCTAATATTCTTAAGAGGGTCTCTTCTCCGGTCTTCAGAGAGTAGCTGGAAGTGAGGAGGCAGAAAAAGGTCCTCCTTTCCTTCCACTTGTAATTTAATCTGAAATCTCAGGCACTGTACTGTACCCAGAGTTCAGAAACTGCTCACGCTGATGAAATTCCTTTTCGCAAAATGCGCCTTGAACAATGGGAGTTTCAAAAACTGCTAGGGCAGGCTTCCTCAACCTCGGCCCTCCAGATGTTTTGAGACTACAATTCCCATCATCCCTGACCACTGGTCCTGCTAGCTAGGGATCATGGGAGTTGTAGGCCAAAAAACATCTGGAGGGCCGAGGTGGAGGAAGCTAGGGAGTTTCCTGATGCTGGGTGGGTGGTGATGAGATTTGCTCTATTTCAAAGCAGCTAGGATTCTATTTTCTACATTGTATTATAGGTCATCTAAAGCGGAGGAGGGGGAGGGGGGAGAAGCTTCCATGGGGTGGGGATCCTGTCTTGACCAGTATCCCCATGGAGAGCAGAACTTTCCCAGCTTTCGGTTCTTCTGTCACCTCTACATCTGGTCTTTAAAACCTCTCCAGGCACAAATGGGAGAGATTTTGCAGGCCTCACAATATTTTAAGCAGCAAACAAATTCTAATTCCTCCCCCCCCCCCCACTTTTTCTGTTCCCAAAGGTGAAAGGACAAGTGGAAGAGAAAGAAGGAAGAAGCTTTGAAGTCTTCGAAGCAGTTGAGTTTAAGACGCAGATCGTTGCTGGAATAAACTACTTCATCAAGGTACCGTATATGCCTGCTGTTTTGGTTGTTGTAAAGCACACATTGCTCTTGTGGCTAGCGAGTCAAATGCAGTATATCTGCTAATAATGGACAGTTTCTCCATTATATGTCAACAAATTAAAGCATCTAGGGTATTTTCCAGGTGATTTTGCCTGAGTCTGAGCCTTTGGAAGCCAAGCTTAGTGCTGAGGGGGTAAATCCTGGGTAGTGGCTGGGTGTCAGGGACTGGGCAGAGGAGGAATGGTGGAGACCGCCTGCCCAGCATGACCCTTCCAGAGAAGAAGAAGACAGTTCAGAATTACAACAGGGGGTTGCGGGAGTTCGCAGCTCAGAGGCAGATGAGGAGAAAAGTTGGGAAATCATGGGAGAGCCCAGAACAACACCTGGCTGACCTGTTGTCATTGGAAAACATTCCACACCCTCCATCTCCCAGAACCCGGCGAGCCTTAAAAGTAGGAGAGCAAAGAGCTCGAAGACAGAGGACCTGTAGCAGCACCCGTAGAAGGGATGAATGAGGAAGTGGGAGAGATGGGGGGGTGGAGATTCACCTGGGACAACAACATTATCCAAGAGGCTGGGTTCTATTAAGGGGCTGGAATTCTGCTCTTGCCTTCTCCCCTGCATACTGTTTTTAAATGTGGAGATAAATTATTTTGGATGGTGGTAATAGCGTGACGCGGGTGGCGCTGTGGGTTAAACCAGAGAGCCTAGGACTTGCCGATCAGAAGGTCGGCGGTTTGAATCCCCGCGACGGGGTGAGCTCCCGATGCTCGGTCCCTGGTCCTGCCAACCTAGCAGTTCGAAAGCACGTCAAAGTGCAAGTAGAAGGTAAACGGCGTTTCCGTGCGCTGCTCTGGTTCGCCAGAAGTGGCTTAGTCATGCTGGCCACATGACCCGGAAGCTGTACACCGGCTCCCTCAGCCAATAAAGCGAGATGAGCACCGCAACCCCAGAGTCATCTGCGACTGGACCTAATGGTCAGGGGTCCCTTTACCTTTTAATTGTGTGAAAGAGAGTTCAGTCATTTGATTCCTCCCCGCACTATCTGAACTGTTACATCTGCTACAGAAATTTATTGCTTCACTGAGAATTAGGCCCCATTTACTAAATCTTGGTTTTCATTCTAACAATAACAGCAGTGGTGCATCTGTGCTGATACTGCAGTTTGCCCTCGTCAAGCAATCATTTACGCTGGTGCTGCTGAAGCCTCAGAGAAGTGAGGGGTTGGATGATTTCCCTGAGGAACGTTAGGCAGATGACTCCTTTAGGACAGAGTAGGCTAAACTGGAGCTCCTGGCATTTGTTTGGCGTCACGGAGATGTGAAAAGCAATCCTTCCATAGGAAAGAAGCTTGATTCCTCCCCCCTTCCCAACTACAGTACAACTATAATGAAGCGAGACGAGCGCTGATGCCTAAGCTATAGAGGATGACCTTTCCCCTAAACGGCCTCAGTCCAGTAGACCTGAAGGAGCGTCTCCACCTCCATCGTTCTACCCGGACACTGAGGTCCAGCTTCGAGGGCCTTCTGGCGGTTCCCTCGCTGCGAGAAGCCAAGTTACAAGGAACCAGGCAGAGGGCCTTCTCGGTAGTGGCGCCCTCCCTGTGGAACTCCCTCCCACCAGATGTCAAAGAGAACAACAATTACTAGACTTTTAGATTCAGTTTCAGATAGGTAGCCGTGTTGGTCTGCCATAGTCAAAACAAAAAACAAAAAAACAAAAAAAATTCCAGTGCTACTGGAAGGAATTTTTTTTGTTTAGACTTTTAGAAGACATCTGAAGGCAGCCCTGTTTAGGGAAGCTTTTAATGTTTGATGTATTACAGTATTTCAATATTTGGTTGGAAGCCGCCCAGAGTGGCTGGGGAAGCCCAGCCAGATGGGCGGGGTATAAATAATAAATTATTATTATTATTATTATTATTATTATTATTATTATTATTATTATGCCTTCACTTCACACAATTTACAGGCCCCTTTTTCTTCCTTCCCAGGTCCACATTGGCAATGACGAGTTCCTTCACGTAAGAGTGTACAAAAGACTCCCTCATGAAAACAAGCCGCTGGAGCTCACCAGTTACCAAAGCAAGAAAGCAAAACACGATGAACTGGCTTACTTCTAAGCGGTTCTGCAGAAGCCTTTCTTCCTCTGCAGTTTTTTTTACTCAGTTGAAAACCGGAGTTTATTTTGCCAAATGCAAATGATTTCTCTTTCTTTCTTAAAAAATTAGTATCGTGCTTTAAAATTGTAGTAATGTAGCCATGTTTTGATCGTACTAATTTTTGTGGCGTACAAGCATTTATGTGTTACTTGTGTGTAAACCGTAAGCGCATAGATCAAGGACTGGGACTGTGCTTTTTACCTCACGCTATCACCTCCCCCCCCCACATGTGTTCAGCAACATTTTGTATGAGCAGAAAGCCTAATTCATGACACTTGACTAGGTGTCCCAGCTGTGGAGACCCCCTACTCACGAGCAGGAGCGCACATATTATTAGGATTTTTGCTCACACAACCATGACCATGTGGTTACTAAAAAGAAAAAAGGGGGGACACACTGAGTGGGGCTAAAACCAGGTCCCAATCCTCTATATGCTTATGCCTGACATGTGAGCAATGTCTGAATAGGGCTACATAGTCATTATATACCCAAGAATTCCTCTGATGTGCATTCATTTTTGTATACCACTCCTTTGGATCCTTCTCAATAAATCAAGTTGCTTGCTTAAAAAAAAAAAAGCCAATGTTAATAGGGGAAACTTCATAAGTGTTGAAGGTCTAGTTAAACTCAGCTCTTCATTAGGTTGGATGGGAAGTGGGGGGAGACTGGCTGATGGTGTCTGGATCTGGCCACAGTAGTTAAGATGGATTGTCATGGGCATAGTCAGGATTTTGGTTGGGGAGAAGGCAAAAAAGTTGTCGAACTTTTAGGGGAGATCACCCCCCAAGGTTACTGAGCTTTTTTGGGAGATCATGGGTAAAGGCATTATGAGGGCAGGCTTCTGACTAGGCAGAACTGGCTTCTGCGATGGGAACAGAACCTCAGTTAGCTGAGTATTTTTAAGAGTATTTTTAATGCTTTTCAATAATTTTTGAGGCTATAGGGGGCAGGAGCTGCCTGCCGCCTCCCCTTGCCTACACCCATGGGGGCTGTAGGAGGTGGTAGCACAGATTCAAATGAGGCTGTGTTATGTGCTGTGCAGGTTTCATATTGTGCCTATGGCTGCTGACAAGGCTCACAATGGTTGTTCCTTCATATCTGAGAATACCAGCTCTGTCTTCCACACAGTAATGGAAAGAGAAACTTCTTCCCTGTATTTCCTTGAAAAACAACAGCAACCAACTGGCTGCCTTGTTTGGGTGAAGTAGGAAAGAGTGGGCAATCCTTTTTTTATTATTTGGATGTTCTAAGACAAATGTTAGGGACGCGGGTGGCGCTGTGGGTTAAACCACAGAGCCTAGGGCTTGCCGATCAGAAGGTCGGCGGTTCGAATCCCTACGATGGGGTGAGCTCCCGTTGCTCGGACCCTGCTCCTGCCAACCTAGCAGTTCGAAAGCATGTCAAAGTGCAAGTAGATAAATAGGTACTGCTCCGGCGGGAAGGTAAACGCCGTTTCCGTGAGCTGCTCTGGTTTGCCAGAAGCAGCTTAGTCATGCTGGCCACATAACCCGGAAGCTGTCTGTGGACAAACGCCGGCTCCCTTGGCCAATAAAGCGAGATGAGCGCCGCAACCCCAGAGTCGGCCACGACTGGACCTAATGGTCAGGGGTCCCCTTTACAAATGTTATGTGGGTCCCGTGAGTGTGAGGTAAATGCAGTTTAGTAGTTGCCTTTGCAATCATATCCTTAAATTCCAGAGAGATAAATTATGAAATTGTGCCTACCGGCTATCGTTTTCCGGGAAGCCTGTAAGTGCACCAAGTATACTATTCACTTTCTATCCCTGTGTCTTACTAGTGGAAAAGGAGTACGAGGAATAAATGTTGCTATTACACAGAATACAATGCAGAATCACAACCTAAAACTTCCCAAACGAGATGTTTTATTTGTAGCTGATTTTGACATGTCAGTCTGCAACCTGTATTTGCTTAAAAAACACACACAAGATGGCAGCAGAAAGGGCTACTTCTCCTTAGAAGTAGTTCAGTGGATCATTCGCCGTCTTCCCAGTCTGGTAAGCGGTCAAAGAAGGGGCTTCGTTCTTGTGAGGAAGGGGCTGGAATACGCGTAAGTGCAAATGTTCACCCTGGCCAACATCGACCTGTAGGGAAGAGAGAATGAGCCAGGGTTAAAATGTTCAATGTTAATTACTACCCGAGTTCACATTAACAATCCTAAAATGTGACCCTCCAGCTACTGTTGGACTCCCAATTCCTAGCAGCCCCAGTTCAAAGTTTGGGGAGATTATGAAAGTAGGAGGCCGGCAGAATCACAAATTAGCTACTCCTGTGAAAAGCATTTAGTTGAGATAGGGAGGGATGATTGGAACCTAAGGCAAAAGTAGCTTGCATAAAAAGAATTGTGTTAAACAGGAAATGCACATTGCTTAGAGACCCTTCGACTGGACAATCTACTGGCCGGCTTTGCACAGTGAGAGGGACAACTTTTTCAGGGTTTTACTGTAGTAACCAAATGAAAAGGTGGAAGGACTAGGTAAAAAAAAAAAAAGGACCCCTGGATGGTTACGTTTAAGAGTGGCTGGGGAAATCCAGCCAGATGGGCGGGGTATAAATGATGATGATGATGATGATGTCCAGTCAAAGGCAACTATGGGCTTGTGGCACTCATTTCACTTTCAGGCCGAGGGACAGACAGCTTTGTGCGTCATGTGGCCAGCATGACTAAACCGCTTCTGGCACAACGGAACACCGTGACGGAAGCCAGAGTGCACGGAAATGCCATTTACCTTCCCGCCACCTATTTATCTACTTGCACTGGTGTGCTTTCGAACTGCTAGGTTGGCAGGAGCTGGGACTGAGCAATGAGAACTCACCCCGTGGCGGGGATTCAAACTGCCAACCTTCCAATAGGCAAGCCCAAGAGGCTCAGAGGTTTAGACCACAGCGCCACCTGCATCTTACCCAACAGGCAGCACCAGGCAGCATTCCTTTCATTTTGAAGAACGAGTGAAGGGACGATACACGTCCGTCTCTAAAGGCAAGCCAGCCTATTTTTAAAGTGATGCAAGAGCTTCCTGATGAAGTAGTTTTAAACGGCAAAGGTATTCCATAATTAATACTTCAAAGCATATATATATATATATATATATATATATATGGCTTGATTAAGCTTCTTCAATAAAAACTAGTGTGGCGATCACACACAGGGCCCTCGGATGTTTGACGGTCTATTGACCCTGTGTCGCCACTGCGATTGCTTTTTCTGCTGCCACCACCCTGTATCTCACAGGGACACACGGAGTCCAGTCAGTTGTTAACATTAACAAATAATCAAGTTTATTTTTAAATGCAGGAACAAGCTTATGGTTACAGTTAATTTTTCTCTTGTCAGTTTCTTATTCTTAGTTCCTAACAACTCCAAACTGATTATTCCAACTATCTATCTGACTCCACCTAACAATTCCTCTCACTCTCTCACAATACAACTCGACCAACCCACACCTAAACCTCCCTCTTCTCCAACTCCCAAACCTCAACTGACTTTCAAAACCTCCCACTCTAACTTTTATTCCCCCCTTGCATTCTCACTGGCCAATCACATCACACCTATTTTAACCCTTTCCTTATGACCCATCCTAGGAGGCAAACGCCACAACTCGTTTTAAAAATGTAGACTTTTTAGAATAGAAAGTTCATTAATAAAATTCCCGATCATTTCTCAGTTGGAGCACTGACCTTAATGAAATAGTTTGTTCCAGCAACCACCTGTGTTTTGTACTCAACAGCAGTGAAAACAGTATAAACCTTGTTTTCCTTCTGTTCTATCTGAGATTTCATCTGAAATTAAAAATAAGAGTCGTCATTCTTGGGTAGCAAAGAACTGAGCCAAAGCCATAGGAAATGGGGAGCGTTTGCATTGCTCCGTTATTCATTTTATGTTTGAGAAATTTTGCAGGCCCCCAAATCCCTTTGGGAGAAGTGCAGAAACAGCTGCTGTTTCAAGGCAAGTCCTGATCTCAGGCCAAGGGTGGACGCTCAGGGCTGACCTTCCCAGAGAAGCCAAACCTGCTTGCCTAGAAGAGAGACTCATTTTTGTATGCAACCAAACGCTTCTTGAGATGGAAGTTTTTATGAAGAAGAAATACAGTAAAAATGGCACAAATGGCTATATGACTTTGTGGTCAAAATGCGTGGGCTGACTCAATACATTTGGCCACACCTAACAATTTAGTCTCTGAAAATATCATCATCAACCTTTATTACAGTCCATAGACCCAACAAATCATTACAAAGCAATGCACAATTCATACAGCCTACCTTCAGGTTAAGCAAGCATTTTGTTCAGAATATAGGGATCATTGGTTCTTGCACCCACCGATAAAAACTTTGCCACTGCTAATGTTCTAGTGCAGTGTTTCCCAACCGGTGTTCCGCGGCACACTAGTGTGCCGCCAGACGTTGCCTGGTGTGCCGCGGGAGCTTCCCCCTCCCCCAGAACGGGACCCAGAGCCATGCCGAAGCTGCGCGCAGCTTTGGCATCGCTCTGGGAGCTTGCGGGGCTGGGGGAGGAGGAAGCCCTCCGCCAGCCTCCAAACCATGTCGGGAGACAGCGGGATGGCGCGCTGCGCCTCTCCCGCTGTCCCCCGAGTTTGCAGGGCTGGCGATGGGGAGGAGCAGGCTTCTCCCCCCGCCAGCCTTCCAGCCAAGTCGGGGGGCAGCGGCAAGGGCGCGCTGTGCCTCTCCCGCTGTCCCCCGAGTTTGCGGGGCTGGCGATGGGGAGGAGCAGGCTTCTCCCCCCGCCAGCCTTCCAGCCAAGTCGGGGGACAACGGGAATGGCGCGCTGCCTTTCTCCGCTGTCCCGGACGGCTTTCAAAAGCCTGCCTTCAAAAGCCGTCCGGGACAGCGGAGAAACGCGCTGCCTTTCTCCGCTCTCCCGGGAAGGCAGGCAGGGGGGAGCAAAGACTTTCGCCCCCGCCCACCTTCAGAAGAGGTCCAGGACCTCTTCTGAAGGCGGGCGGGGGGTGAAAATCTTTGTCCCCCCTGCCTGCCTTCCCAGGGGCTTTTAAATCGCCCCGGACAGCGGAGAAGTCCTCCGCTGTCCCGGGCGATTTTAAAATGCCGCCCGCCAGCATTTTAAGATTGCCCCGGACAGCGGAGAAGTCCTCCGCTGTCCCGGGGTTTTTTAAAATGCTGGGGGTGGGAAGAAAAGCCCTTGTCCCCCCCCCAGCCTTCAGAAGAGGTCGGGGGACAGACTGTCCCCGGACCTGGTCTGAAGGCGGTTTCCCTAGGAACGCATTAATTGATTTTCAATGCATTCCTATAGGAAACCGTGCATCGCAAGACGAAAAACTCGCAAGACGAAGAGACTTGCGGAATGAATTAATTTCGTCTTGCGAGGCACCACTGTATCCGGAGAGGCGGCCTTCAGGCGAGTTTTAATTTTAATTTTCCTTCTCCCACTTAATGCCCCACGCTCGCCCGAGCAGCTTGCAGTCCTCGGTAACCACGGCGACCCGAGGGAGGGGAGGGAACAGGGAAGTCGAGGGCGGCGGCGAGCCGCGATGACGTCAGTGGGCCGCGCCGCCTCGCCCTGGCACGGTGTGAGAGCCCCGGCTAGTGGTGCGAGCTTCAGAATAAGTGGGATCCGCGTGCGCTGCGCGCTGACGTCACGGGGCTGTAATGGTGGTGTGCCTCGAGATTTTTTTCATGAAACAAGTGTGCCTTTGCCCAAAAAAGGTTGGGAAACACTGTTCTAGTGTTTGTCCGGTCTTCCAATAGGAACCTAACTTAGTGAGCCGCTGATTTTCCCGGGAAAGGTACCAGCAAGGGTAATATCAGTTCAGCCCTGGCTTGCTTATATTTTGCAGAGTGCAACAAAATATGTTTTATGGAATTGATGTCTTGAGCACACAAGCAGAGTCTGTCCTGGTAGGGAACTCCTCTCAACCTGCCATCCAACACTGCAGAAGGAAAGATGTTTAGTCTGGCTTTGGTGAAAAGCCTTCGATAATTTGGCACTGTCAGGTTTTTAATGTAAGATGTCAACTTAAAGACATGCCCATATTGTACTCCTACTGCCAGCGGACTACAGACTGCGTGTGATCGAGATCGCAAGTCACTGTGTGCATTATCCCATAATCTTTGCTTTAACGTCTTTAGGGCACCTTCATAACCCAGGTAATACAGTTGGGGGGTGACAGACCAATAGAGGTGGCTTTTTTAGCCATGGTTTTCTGCCATTTGCTGACAAACTCCTCATTGGTCAGGGGTTGGTACAAACCCTTCCCTAGATCAAACACTGAAATCCTGAGCCAATTTTTAGGGCAGCCCACCACGCTTTAGTTGAAATTGGGCATTCACTAGCTTCTAACAGAAGTATGGAGTTGGGGGCACAGTTGGGTACCTGCAGCAGAGATCGTAGAAATTTTGCCTGGAAGCCATCTAGCTTTGGCAGGTCCCTTAAGGCTGCTGGAACATATTTGCCGCCCTTTGTGAAAAATAATCTGAGTATGGCTAGCTTAGTGATCTCTGAAAATATTAAACTGCTCCCCTAGAACAAATAGCATTCTTTCAAAAGAAAGCTACAAAAGTCTCGTGGCATCTAAGTTTTTGTGGGCTAGAGTCCAACAACACACACACCACCTTACTTGCGCCACAAGCAGTTTGTAAGCCTGTAAGGTGTCACAAAAACTTATTCCATACTAACCTCCGAGCTGCCACAAGACTCTTTGCCACACCTCCTATGGATTTTTGTTTTATTTTATTTACAAAATAAAGGGAATCTGAAATCGTGAGACTATCAGCATTGATATTCATTTTCCAAATCTGGTCCCTGCATGGATGACACAAGACGGGGGGGGGGGTCTGTAGGAGGACAGGAGAGGAAAGAGGTGGGGGGTCAATGCCCCTCCCCATCACCATTAGTTAGAATGGTGCATTGTCATTGGCTCCACCAAACTTGGAGTCAAGAGAGGTTATTGATTCTGAAATAACACATGCAATCTGTGGCCAGATAAACAGGTATTCTTATTTCACAACTGAATGACAGCTACTAAATAAGGTGCGTTTTCCACATTGGTTTAATTTATATACAAAATATAAATTTGTCAATGTTTAATGGGCTCTTTTACTTACCTTGTCAGCCAGCTGCTGAACATCTGGAGTAGAAGGACTGGCATCTGTTAAGCCTCCAGCCATCATGGTGACAAGTCAACCTTGAAGGTTCTGAGAAGTCTCCACGGGCAAATCAGCAGCAACTATGATCCAGTAGTTTAGTCGGGCGTATTATATACTCTAACAGTGTCACATGACTCTTATGTAAATGAATTTGAAGAGTCATCACCTGAGCATTAAAAGGAAAGAGGTAGACTTTTGTTACAATGGGTTGTTACAGTATGGGGAAATACAAATTTAACATGATTTATCTCCCTGAACATGCAGAAGATAAGATTTCCACACAACACAATCAAGCTTTTGTTTTGTGAGAGTTGAAGGGGGGTGAGGAATCTTCCTGACTCACCAGAAGCTTAACTTCTTGAGTAATGGACACATGACTGACTTTTGTTCTTTGGAACAGCACCTCTTCTGGAGTTGCTCAACCCAGACGCAGATTCCTTGTTTCATTGGTTCAAGGCCAAACAAGAAGGGAGAAAAGGATGCATGAAAAAGGTCTATGAATTAAAACCAGTCTTCCTAAACCTGGTACCCCTCCTAGTGTTGCTAGACTACAACTCCCATCATCCCTGAACACTGGTCACCCTGGATGGTGCCAGCCCAAAACCTCTGGAGGACACCAGGCTGTGAAAGGAGGGGTTAAGTCTATGTAAATAGCAGCCGAAGGAGGGCTTGGCATGTGAGGAGGTTCTATCTTTCCAGTGAAAACCATTCCCACCCCACCCACCCTGCTATTTGCTATGGAAGGGGGGGGGAGAAACATACTAACAAAGGGCCTTCTCGGTGGTGGTGCCCGCCCTGTGGAACGCCCTCCCATCAGATGTCAAGGAAATAAGCAACTATCAGACTTTTAGAAGACATCTGAAGGCAGCCCTGTTTAGGGAAGTTTTTAATGTTTGATCTTTTATCGTGTTTTTATTGTTCTGTTGGAAGCTGCCCTGAGTGGCTGGGGAAACCCAGCCAGATGGGCAGGATATAAGTAAAATAATAATAATAATAATTGCTTTTTTCTGTACCAGTGCCCACTTGGTATCAGCCTGGCAAATTACAATAGCTGACCTGTTCGATGTAGCCTAAAAACTAAAATGAGGCCCATGAAAACCCACTACATCTAGGACTTTTGAAGTTAGGGAGCTGGAGTCACTGGCTTTATATGTGAAGTTTCAGTGTTGCCCTGGATATGGATCAAGGGGCAGTTGTTGCACATTTTATGTCCCATGAAACAAATGGCTATAGAATGTCAAGAGCTGGCTTGTGTTTCTGTTACCCTACAGAAAACCCTAAATTAAGACGACCAGTCTTCTATTTAGAAATGCTTAAATATTAATTACTTAGAAATACGTAGAAATGGGGGGTGCTGCATGTGGCAATTTAAAAACTAAGTGATTTCTCAGCACAATCAGATGCTGGTTACCTGCATCTGATGAAGTGGGCTATTCTTCAATAATTTTGGCAGTCTTCAAGGTGCCACAAGGCTGAAATCCTGTACATAGGTGAGTTCAGTGAGACTGTGTACACAGATTAGGATTGCACTGTGCATTTAAATAAACTGGGCACTCCTATCCTCTTTGTGTTTACTGAGAGGCAAGGCTAAATCTTCTACATTGCGAAAGATTCAAGCGCTTTGGTTACCATTTCGCAATACCACAGATAATTAAGTTCTTTCTCTCTCTCTGTGTGTGTGTTTTAAAAAATCAGACTTCAAGCAAATTTAATAGTATCTGAAGAGTAACGATTGGGCATTATTTAAACAAGCAATTCCAAGTGGAATCTATACATCAATGACATTAAGCATTGCATGAGAGCCCATGCCGTAGAAAGAGAAGCAATGAGAATCATTAAAAGGAAGAAGGCACAACCTGACAATGGAACTGTGAAACAAGTTTTTTGGCCTAGAATCACAGAGTTTTTAATTTATAATGTTTACATATTCTCTCTAAGGAACTAAGGATAGCATCCTCCCACCCCAATTTATCTGCACAACCAGCCTGTGAGGAAAGTTCAGCTGAAAGAACGACTGGCCTAAAGACTGGCCAGGGAGTTGTGGCTGCATGGAATTTTGGCCTAGTTATTTTCTTATATTTTATCACTATTCCACCCTGGCTTTCCTGAAGTGAGACTGCAAAGTACTTGGTCCAACTCCACCTCAAGGCAGTTTCTCACGGACAGGTGCTAGACCAACTTTGAAAAAGGTAGATTTTATAGCCTCCAACCAGTTACCTTCTTAACTTCAGTTTTTCTATACATAGATGGAAATGGGGGATGCTACTAAGATCTATTTGCATGCTGCTCTTAGCCATCAATAGCTTTTGTCAACTTGGTCTAAATCAGTGTTTCTCAATCTTGGGTCTCCAGCTGTTTTTGGACGACAACTCACACACCATCCCTAAGCTAGCAGGACCAGTGGTCAGGGATGATGGGAATTGTAGTCCAAAAACAACTGGAGACCCAAGTTTGGGAAACACCAGTCTAAATAATCGAACTGAGGGCAAGTTGGGTAGTTTGTTCTAGCTGGGACTTGAGAAGAGAATGCCTGAAGCAACAGCACACAGGGAGGTAACTTGGAGGACAGGAGGACAGCTTCCCTTTTTGGTGATCTTCTATTGGGAAAATTAGACCCCACCCTCATGCTTTTATGACTCAATGGGGCAAGCACATGATTAACCAACATGGGTGTTCTTGTCACATCTTGTCTGGCCCAAAGGTCATTCCAAATAGAAAAACCCAGGACTAGTGCATAGTTTTAAAATAAAAAAAAACCCCCTCAATGCTGATAAAAGCTAAGCAACTTTTAGGCATTAAGGAAGTGAAGGGGGAGGGTTTGAACGTGTCAGTAGGGCCACACATTTTGCCTCCCCCACCTCCCGGACATTAAATAAGCCTTTTACACTTAAATCTTCCATAATACTGACAGCTCTCAAAACTTGGGTATTTTAGCCAGGGTGGTTGTGATAGGGTTCTGCAACAGGAAATTCTGTATTTTCCCATTTGATGGAAGGTAAATGATCAAAGGTGACCTTTCCTAACTGTAAATGATAGTTTAGAAAATATGTTACCACATTTTAGAGAAAGTTCTCTCATTTTTCAAAACGGGTAAAATAAAAAGCACCCTTGTGGTGTTTTGCAATATGTGTATTTTTAAAAAACATAACCAGGGCTGCCAAGAATTATGAGAATACAGCACCTGTTATGGGCATTAAAGCCCAATGTTAGAGGTTTTGTTTTATTTTCCCTCTGTCACTTTGGATCCCCAGCAGCCACAAAAGGATTGCAGAATTTCAGCTGTTTGGCACATAAAAATGCAGAAAGTGAGGAACCGTGAAATAAGTAACTAACCAAAAGATCCAGTTACAGATAGGTAGCCGTGTTGGTCTGCCATAGTCAAAACAAAAAAAATTCCTTCCAGTAGCACCTTAAAGACCAACTAAGTTAGTTCTTGGTATGAGCTTTCGTGTGCATGCACACTTCTTCAGAATCTGAAGGTATCTGAATCTGAAGGTATCTGAAGAAGTGTGCATGCACACGAAAGCTCATACCAAGAACTAACTTAGTTGGTCTTTAAGGTGCTACTGGAAGGATTTTTTTTGTTTTAACCAAAAGATAAAACTCTTCAGCTCAGGAAATCAAGTCCATCAGCCTGGAGGCTATGCAGACACCAAGCAATTTCATAGCTTTTCAAAATAAAAAGACAAGACGACCACATGGCTCACTCGCAACACATCACATCACATGAAACTGGGAAATGTGGGAAGGCTCCAGTATTGTGCTCATTCGGAATTGGAGCCCGCCACATGCTATCAAGAGGACACACTCTCTCACCCCCACCTGGGTACTTTCCTCTGCATTTCAGGTGCATGGAGGTGAAAACAGGGTCTCAGAATGATCTACAGGGCAAGGATGACCATTGCATGAGGCATTGCAGTTGAAACGTGCAGCACCTCCATTGTGACTTATTAACACATGCACAAATGTGTGCTAAACAAAATTGCTTTGGCTGAAGCAATCTTAACTCCTAACCCTATGATCTCTGAATACTCATAAATTCACAGAACAACATCATTCCAGTGGGCCAAGTAAATAACCGCTTGCACAATTTTCAAATCCAAGTCTACGTTTGGAAATGAAGTACTGTTTAAATAAAGGCATGCAGACTTTACACAGGGCCTAAGCACACCGGCTTGGATGTGTGGTATCTGCTTCTATCGTCTGTCTTGGCACATTATAAACAGGTTCCATTCATTATCTGGACTGTACAGCATTCCCTGAAAGGGTATGGATTATTCAATTCTTCTTTATTTAAAAAAAATTGTTTCTACAGTTCTTCCTTTTGTTTCAATTTAGATCATTACTTGCTGGAAAGCTAAGGTGAGGTGTGTGGCAGGCCAACCCAAGATCCAGAAAACCCTCGTTACAGGAAATCCTACCCCCATATGCTAAAAATATAATTGGTCTTAATTAAAATAATTACAATCCAACCTCTAATTCCTGATAAAAGGAATTTTTAATAATGAATTAATCATTATAATGGGATGTGAAAAAATGGAATCTGAATTTGCAGTGTCTTGTCAGGGAGAGCATAAAGGTTTCTATACACAGGTGGGTTTAGGAAATTGAGTCATCACACATGAGAGGCTTGTATTGCGACTCTGGAATGTTGATAATTATGGCAGGGTTTTATTTTTTGCTTTCTATACACCTTGATGGCTTTTGAAATGAAAGATCTACACACTTTGTAGAGTGTAACCATGTGTTCTGTGTGCTTTTCGGAGCTAATTTCCCTCACACTGGAATCTCATGACGAGAGTAAGGCAATCTCTTGGTCTCCTAAAACGAGCCAATTAGATAGCATTTGTACTTTATTATAAGGCTAAGCTTTTAGAAAATTGTCAGCAAAACTGCATAGTGCTTGAAGATTTATTTTATACATTTAAAATGGCATTAAAGAATTGTATTCAAAATTATATAAGGATAGAACTATTGGAAAACCTGTCATGTTGTCCAGCTGTTGAGCAGTGTAAATTTCCTTTATTTGAATATCAGACAGTTACATCTAACGAAGGCATATTCTCTCGAGTTCAATTTAACACACACACACACACCTTTTCCTCTCCCACGAATTAGAACTGTGACTCTTCTAGAACTTGATCAATAGGACTTAATTTCAAGAAACTCTGTTGACATACTGGGGGGGGGGGACCTGCTATTTCCGCAGGTGAGTAATTATGCTGTGTAACTCCCTGGTAGGTCACTTATAAAGAGAGACTTATAGTCAACATGAAATGAAGTGAATTTACCTACAGGTCTGTCCACATTGGCACGTCATCCGTGAAATTGATGAGAGGCATTCAGTATTTGCTTCATGTAGCAAATTCATGAGTTTAATATCTTTCACTCTCAAATTATTTCAGCATCCAAGCCAAAAAGATATAGATGTCAACGTCCACACTCCAAAAGTATCCAGTATAAAGCAATTCACAACTGGCACCACCGGATATGTCAGACTGCAACTGGAGTCCACAGTTTAAACTGACTACATCGCCAGTCAAAATTGGATTTGTTTACAGAATGCTACATGTAGTTAAAAGGTAAATTCCCAGTTTGCATCAAGTATTGCCTATTAACTTCCTTTTATC